TCAGATCTGTTCCTCTAACCCATAGATCTGACCTCCTTGAGCAAAATAAACACGTAAAGTCTAGATCTTGATGCCCATGCAAAGACCTAATGGCTCTATTTGAAGAAATGACCTCAATATGCCACCCTAAGCTCATATCTCTCAATGTCACCCATAAAGATCAAGGAGTTAAGGTCTCTAGACCTATTTGGATCCAGATTCGAAGTCTCAACACAAGAAGGGACCAGTTGCTCCACAATTCATACTCTAAAGGGGCTAGAAACCCTAACTCTCAAAGATTAACACCAAAACTGAAGAAGGATCAAATATATACCTCAATATGAAGTCCCTAGGCTCTGAAATCCATAGGATAACACCCTCTTCAGTTCCCTCTTGCGTTGGTTATCTTCTTCTTGCAAAAACACCCACACAAGGATCAAAATGGCCTCTTCTTCCTCACAAATGCTCTAGATCGCTTAGGGTTTCACTCAGGGGTCTGGTAGCCGCAAATGGTAGCTATAAGCCCCTTTAAATATGTCTCAAACCCCAGGAATTAGGGCTTCATTAAACAGTGTGGAATCGCTGAGTTCGGTCATTGACCCGGATAGAATTCGCGACCCTACTCGGCAAGTCTAAGCATCAACTCGCCGAGTCCCTCCAAAATCTCCAAGATAAATGAATAAATAATGTACCTGGGAATCCGGATGTTACAGTACTCTTAATATTATCACCTAATCGATGTGCTGGTTACCCACACCACCGATCTATGATAAACATTAAGTCACCCTTTGTTATCCTTACTAGTCCAAGTTAGTGTCTCGGTTAACCACATACGCTCCACCAACGACTTGGTAAGGTACAAAGTGTGAATTTTATGGGTTAGCACCACATTCACATTTTCCTTAGTAACTAAGATTAGGTATTTATAAAAGGTTTAGTTACTTAGTGTTTATCATTAATACTTTTAATGAAAGGAGAATTATAATCCTTGTCCGACCTGTTCGGCTAACGACCCTCCACTAGTCAAGGAGGCGGTGGGTGATAGTGGACACCCATTAAACTACCATTTTATAGGCAGTAACCTTATACCCCCTTATAGTTTGGCTTCGTGAATGAGGCCTACTAACGGTAAGATTGACTTTACTCTTATACATATATATATATATATATATATATATATATATATATATATATATAATCATTAACTTTTAATATTATAATAGTATAAGAGTGTATTTTAAACATTTAAAATACTTGGTGGTTTAATCTATTAATTATACTATACTCTTAATTTAATTAAATTTAAACTATGTCTTTATGGAATTATTAACTCTTTTAATTAAACACTTTAATTAATTCAATGAAGTCCATAAAGTTTGAACTTTAACTTTTAAAATTCTAGGGTTTGGAATTAAAGTGTATATGGGGGTGACTTTACAAATTCCAAAACTTGAGGGCAAGTTTTGAAACTCTTCAAAACCCTTGGATTTTCATAACTTATGAGTTTAATTAAGGTCTTAAAAAACATTAATGAAGAGACTCTTGAACATCCATAACTTGAGGACACGTTATGGAGTTCATAAAACTATTTATGACAAAAAGACTCTTCATTTTGTAACATATGGCAATTTATGAGTTTTTAAAATTCATACATGTGACTGTAACGCCCCGATTCTCAGGTAATAATTTAAGTAAAATATTTTTGGGTTTTGGACCTACTCGACGAGTTGGTTGCCCTACTCGTCGAGTAGCAGCAGGTTGGATCTCGAATTAAGTGACCTACTCGGCGAGTCCTTTGTGGGACTCGGCGAGTAGGAGATGGAAAGTGAGATCCTAATTCCTGGGGTTTGCACCCCTATTTAAAGAAGCTCAAGCCTCTTTCAGTCCTTTGCAGCCCCCTTTGCATCTCTAACTCGTGTGTGTGTGTGTGTGTGTGCCCATTGTGTGTTGAAGCTTTAAGAGAAGATTTTTGGTGTAAAAGTTTGGGGAATCAAGTGATTGAGGCAAGGAGCTGGGAAGAGATCCAATTTCTACTTCTGTGGACATCTATTGGGAAGGTATTTAACCATTTCCCTCAGTTATTTCAGCTTAGACCTCATCTTTGAATGAATTTTAGGGTTTAAAAAGGGTATCAAGTTGGTATGGCAATCTATGGGCTAGATTTGAAGTTGTAACTTCAGATCTGGACCCTCTTTGGATTATTCAAGCATAAAGTTCCAACTTTAGTCGAGTTTAAGGTCCCCTTGGTCCATGAACATCCATTAAGAGTTTAGTTTTGGCATTTGGAGCTTGTAAAGCTATGAATGCACGTAAAGTTTGCAACTTTACGTGATAAGTAGGCTTAAGGAAGCTATATCTGCAATTTGGGACCTTGCCATGGCTTAAAGATGTCTGCATGTTAAAATAACTGAAGGGACTCGACGAGTCACAAAGCCGACTCGACGATTCATATGAAGATGTGCATTAAACCCGACGAGTTGGATGAACAACTCGGCGAGTCAGATGAAGGAAGCCGTGAACTCGACGAGTTGGTTGAACAACTCGGCGAGTTAAATGAAGATGGTCATGAAACTCGACGAGTTGAAGAACAACTCGGTGAGTCATATGAGTTTTAGCCAAGAATATTTTTGCGTGTATACCCATCAAGTTGCAGGGAGGAAACTCGACGGGTGGCCTTAAGATTTGATCATGATTCGAAGGAACTCGACGAGTCACCCCGATGACTCGGCGAGTTGGAATGTGCTTCAAGGACTCGGCGAGCAGTCGAGTGTACTCAGCGAGTTGAGGTCAACATGGACTGTTGACCTTGACCAAGGACTTTGACCTTGATCAGGGATTGACTAGTGGGTTATGGAGTGCCTTATAAGGCTAAGGACTTATGAGTATATTGTGATATGGATATAGGTGGTGGAGCCGGTGACAAGTGATCCGATAGTTGGAGTTACTTACCAAGTCAACATCTGCGAGGTGAGTTATCCTCACTATATCGATAGGGTCTATGGCACCAAGGCCAACCCTTTAGTTGTTATTGTTATGGTATGCTACATGTGATATGATCGGTTTGATCGCAATAAGGGTAGACAATATGTTATGCTTTTATGATCCGTAGGGATTGGTATGTTAGTGACCTGCTAGGTCAGTGCTCTAGTTACGAGAGAATTCTATGATTGATGATCAATGAGATAGATATGCTTGATGTTTGTATATGCCAGTATAAGATAGTATGCGCACATGGTTATTTGCTTGTTGGTTGGGTTGAGGCAGTCCTGTTGTGTGTTGAAGGCCAACATACCCTATGAGTGGTCCGGGGAGACTGTAGGCCCATGTGGCGGACCAGTCATGCCGAAGGCTCGTGATAGATTCAGATAGATTGTAGGCCCAAAAGGGTGGACCAGTCAGGCCGATGGCCCTGTATGCATGTCGATTGATTGATTGTTATTGATATGGTTTCTGTTTGTACGGTATTGGTATTTTGGGGGTAGCTCACTAAGCCCTCGGCCTTACGGTTTTCAGTTTATTGTTTCAGGTACTTCAGGAGATCGAGGGAAGGCGAAGGCGTGACCATACCGCTCCTCATCCTTATGATCTGTTTTGGGACACTCTAACGATAAATGATTTGGAAATGTTTTGTAAAAACAATTACTATTTGTTTCTTTTGTTAATGTTAAAAGTTTAAATTTGGCGTAAATTTTATGGATGTTATAGTGACTTTTCAAGTAACTTGAGGACAAGTTACAAAAACACATGTTATTACCAACTTCTAGATTAATTTGGATTGAAAACAAGTATCTCATAATTTTTCTATTAATCTAAACAAACTCATAAACATGAACATTCATAATCAACATTTTTCAAGCATCATATAAACATGTATAAAACTTGAAGCTTTGATTATTATCCTTTATTTGGATGAGAATAAACATTACCATAGTATCAGAAAACAAATTTTATGAACAAAAACACTTTTTGGTAATGATTCTAATCCAAAACAGGCCAAAAAAGTCAAAGATATGCTGTCAGGGGGTCCAACTCGTCGAGTGCATGAACCAACTCGATGAGTTAGAAGAATTTGTTCATGGAATCGACGAGTCCATCACTGGACCCGTCGAGTCTCCTATCCAGACAGCAAAAAATACGATTTTTTTTTCAGTTCTTTCCAGCAACTTGCATCAAGTATAATTGAAAACAACCTATGGCTCTGATACCACTGTTGGTATTTGGTATACTACAACATCCTATGGTGCACATACAACCCTAAATACCTTGGATCTATGTTTTCACTAATTATACATGCAAATGATTTCAAAGGTATTAATCTTACAACTAGCATGCATTTAACATAAACCATATAAGATACTAGTTAGCATAACATATCTTTTGATGGAGCTTGAAGTCTTGGTGTATTTGGCCTTAAAGAGCTTAGCCCCAATAGTGTGGAACCCTTAAATGGAATCATAACACACCATGGACAAAGGATGAACTTGAGAGAGAATTCCATGCACACAAAAGACACCATGAACTCCAAGAAGATACAAGTGGCAATTTTGGGCAATGAAGTATCTATTTATATGTGGGATTCCTAGGGTCATGGATACAACCGAAATCCATACCCATGGGTTTTATGATCCAAGTTTCATGTGGCCCAACTCTTTATGTATCCATACATAAACTTGGTCCAACATGGATCATAAGCCTAACACATATAAATGTGACTAATTATCATAATTTGTCCCCATAGATTTAATTAGTCTCTTTTGACCACTAAATTAATTCCAAATTAATTGTTAATCAATACTAATTAAAACATATGATTTCATATTAATATATTATAACTTATAATATATTAATAAACCCTAAATAACCTTCTCTCAAAAGTCCATCCTAATAGATTGTCCTGATGATATGCAACCCAAATAGACCATGCTACTCTTGGGTCGAATACATACCAATAATAATTATGGGCTTAGAGACCTAATCCAACAATATATGTTTGTTCACAGGCTGAGAAATTATAAATGATTATGACAGTTGGTGATAGAAGAGGTGGTGGTGACAGAGGTGGCGGTGGTATAAGTGATAGAGGTGACAGTGGTGGGGTCAAACGGAGTCTAAAGTAAAGTTGTAGATCTCGTTGATATCTATAAGTGGATATAAAGAACATCAAAAACGGAGCTCGTAGGAATGTGTTATAATTTATAATAGCATATTTACGTATTAAAATAAAGTATAAATCATATGTAAGTATATATATATATATATATATATATATATATATATGTATGTATGTATATATATATATATATATATATATATATATATATATACACACACACATATACATATGTATATATCATTAGAAAGGTATCAACGATGTGGTCGTTATAAAACTGGTGTTGAGTACTTTCGACATTAGTTTAGTACAAATATCATTAAATCTATTTAAAATAGTATTATAAAGGGGTTTTTATTATTTTAAATAACTATAAGGTCATTTAAGTAACTATCGAGGGTGGCTTTTGAAATTTCAATTACTATAAATAAGAGGCTCTAGGATCTCAGATTTCTTGTACCATTATCTTGATTAAAGAGTCTTTCTCTTCTTATCCCTCGAGCATTTATGTCCGTCATGATTCGACTTCTCTTTCTGTAGTTTTAGTATAGTAAGGTGAGAGCTGAAGCGCTATAAGAATCATTTTAGAAAAAATATTCAACGGCGAAGTTCTGACCACAGAGTTCTAAGTTTTCGCTTGAAACCCTGTAAGTTGAGCTACACCTATTACGCTTTAAGTATAACTTATATTTAAGTTTATTATCGTTATTATGAACCTATAAACAAGATTTATCAGTGATTCAAAGTCTTTATACTAATTAATCTACTTATGGGGAAGATGTCTAGGCTGTGATTTAGTGAGGTGTTTAAAGTGAGATTTCCAAACAATATACTTCGTATACCAAATGGACCCTACCTACGATATGATCCTACCTGGTTGTTCCTTACTTGATAGATCATGAAAGTAGAATTTGAGTTAATGATAAATCTAGAATAATAATTAGTCGCAAAAACATTTGATTAAAACTTAGTGATAATAATACTAGGTTTCACCAAAGGAAAAGACAATTGTTACAAGCAAATCGCTGCTCGAATTTGGAGTCGTCAATTTAACAAGTGAGTGCATAGTTACTTCCATCTTACACATAGATACGAAGTATTTAATATAAACTACATGCTACGTGTGCGTATTGTCTTTGTTCTTGATATCTATGTTGGATGAACAATTTATACATGTTTTATTTGATTTAAATTGTATATGTATTTTTATACTAATAAATATATTGGGTAAAGATGGGTAGATGAGTGATGAGAGATAGTTGATGATAGAAGGGTGATGATAACTAGGTGATGATAGATATGCGATGATGAATAGGTGATGCGAGATAAGAGATAATCATGAGATGCCATAACCTTGACCTGCAATGTTGCGATGTAGTCATCTACCAGAGTATAGATGGCGACCAAGGTGATGAATTACGAGTTCAGGCGATATAGTAATCTACCAGAATATATTGGGTAAGTATGGGTAGATGATTGATGAGAGATAGGTGATGATAGAAGGGTGATGTTGCGATGTAGTAATATAAACAAGTCATGTGGAAACTATGTATTCATGTGATGATACTCTAACCCTCACTGGACACATATTGGGGCAGTAATCCACGAATCACTGTCTATGCGATGTAGGCGATGATCCTTAGGAAAAGTCCTTAGGAACAAGCATATAAGGAAATGCGATGTAAGGCGATGAGAGGCAAATACGATGTAGGAGATGACCCTTAGGGTAAATATTTAGGGAAGAATAAATAAAGAAAATAGGGATGGGTAATTGGGTTAACTGTTTGACATGAAATATGTATTAACTATATTATTGTGGGTTGAAAACCTTATGTACTCACCATGTTTCCCAACCTGACCCACTCAGTTTATTTGTGTCACATGTATCGACGTGAAGATACATTACACTGAGAGATTAAAGGAGATGTAAATCATTAGTGTAAATGAATGTAAGGTCTATTTGTGCTTATGTTTCTGTATTGAGGATGACATCACAATGTTTTAATATAAATAAAATACATTTTTTTGGTAATGATTTGATAATATATTTATCATATTTTTGGGGACAAATTTTGCAATATTATTCTTCAAAAAGGTTACTCTAATTTTAAAATAAGCATAAATAAAGTTTTTAAAATGACCGTGAATTTGGTGATGTCATAGTATTGGAGCTACAAGTTATAGAGAACTAGTAATTTCTTATGAACTACGACTATAACCTAGGGTGAATACTCTAAATTAGTTAAACCTAATAAAAAGTATTATTATTCATTACCATACGGATATACTACTTATGGGATATATGTCTAGTTTGAACTGTCTCTTGGGTTCCTCAATTTCAGAACCGTTATATGCTAAAATGGTCCTGGCTTCTACACTTCTCACTTGGCCGATCCTTACTTGATAGTCTTGAAGTACAAAACATAAAATTAATAAAACACCCTTGAAGTACAAAACATAAAATTAATAAAACACCCTTCATCAAACACTAAACAGATAAAGATTTGTACATGCTCTAATAAATTTACCTACATACCATAAAGACTACACATTTAAATTGCAACTTAAGATTTAAGGTAAAAAATGAATCCTAGGATTAGTATAGTACTGGGGCCGTACCACAATTAGACCACAAATAAGTTTTATTATGGTCAGACCATCGCACTCCCAAATCTGTATGTCGTAGTTGACAACCTTAAATTTTAAGGATTTATGGATTGATAGCTTAGTACGATTTGTTAAGAAATTAGGTCAAGGCCTCCAACTTGAGGATCTTTGGATTAGTAGCCTAGATCGACTTCCGGAAGACTACAGTCTTAGAGCGAGACCTATTACAAGAGGATTCAACTCTTAGTTTGGAATGGTACACCTTGAGGATATCCAGATTAGACTTAGATATCTAACATATTCCCATATAGAGAATCACAAGAGATGTGGTAAGATCTACTATACACTTATAATGGGAAATTATATGTATTTTATGATTCTCATCGTATCTCTCATAAACATCTTCTTGTTTGATATCTTATGTAGGGTATCAGAGCGATAAGGAGTACATATGGGCTTGGGTATCGTGTCCTTACCCGGAAGATGACCATGTTGTGCCACACACGCCAGAGACGGAGAGTGATTACAATCGGAGGATGCCTTAACCCCTACCCCAGTATCAGTTAAGGATGATGATGAGTTGTTCGAAGAAGAAGAGGAAATCATTGAGGAGGAGGAGCAGCATGACAGGGAGTTCGGTGGGGAACCAACAAACAACTCACCTTATCCAGATTCATCTTCTAGCCGATCCTTCGGTAATCATGCTTTAGGGCCTAGGACGATAACCACCCCAAGAAAATATGTCTCCATTCCAACCCGGATTAGAGCAGCCTCGCCACCATCATTGCCTAAGATATCCAAAAAGCCATACCCCAACCAAAAACAGACTCCATAGGTAGACGAGTGGATTAGGGAGGAAAAAATTAGTTTTTACGAGGTTGGAGAGTCCTCCGAGATACCTTTATGAGATACCATTCCATAGGATCCCACAAATAGGGAGATATTGGTGTTAGTTCCATGGGTAGCATGTCACCGGGATTGTATATATCAGGCAGACGAGGATTGTCCTTCACTCAGGAGGGAGATCAGTATATTGTCTAGTAGAGTTAGAGATTTGGAGTAGGGGTGGGATGTAGATGAGATGAGGATCATCCACTCACAAGACCACTTGGAGGAGACCCATTCTCTGGTTCAATTTTAGTAGATTGAAATCTAGGGTTTAGAGAAGCATGTAGGGGAGTTGGAGTTGAGGTTGGTAGTGTTTAAGCTTGGTCCGGTTATTATAGAGGTAATGATCAGTTTCCTACAACACCATTTGACACAGTTAATGACATCAATAATGGTTTATTTTGGTATGTGGTTAATAAATCAAGCTATGAAAGTTGGGAATTATATTTTTTTGGGTTTGAAGGAGGGAAAAGTTAGCAGATTATAGGATGTTGCTATATATTTTGTAGGTAAAATAGATACTTTTCTTGTTCAAACCACATCATTGTACACTTTTGGGAAACCTTGATGTAAAAATTAATGAAAATTAAAGAAAAATATATATGATCCTATCGTGCACTATGCTACTTGTTTGATTTGTTTTCTTGCTATAATTAACTATCTTAAATAATTTCTCAAAGGAAAACCTCAAACTTATCAAAAAAACTAACTTATACCATAAATATAGAGTCATGCATCACACAAGGAGAAACCTAGGACATCCTGAACCTAATTCCGAACCTAAGAAATCGGTTGCAATTGAGGCTTTAGCAACCCAACATGTCGCTAATGTAATTGTAAACTTAGAAACCAATAGAAACGCAGGCTCATGAGGTAATGGAGGGGAGAGTTCTCATGGAGATAACCGAGGTCCAACTAGGGTTTTCTCATATAAATATTTTATGAACTTGAAACCAAAATCATTCAATCGAAATGAAGGTGTAGTCAGTTTGACTTGACGGATAGAGAAGATGGAGTCTATCTTCGAGGTTAGCTTCTGTGTTGAAGACTACAAGGTGAAATTCGCTACTTTTACCCTGGTAGATGTGACCCTGAGTTAGTGGTCCCGTTATACGAAAACCATGGACATTAATGTAGCGAATGCCATGGCATGGAGCGAGTTGAAGTAGCTCATGATTGAAAAATACTGCCCCTGTGAGGAAATGAAAAAGTTGGAGCAGGAGTTGTGGAATTTGATGATAAAGGAAGCTGACAGTGCTGCTTATACAAACCGTTTCAATGACCTTGCCACTTTATGTCCCGTGATGGTCACCCTAGAATATAAGAAGATAGAAATGTACATTTGGGGTCTACGCCCAGACCATTCAAGGTTTAGTCACCGCCTCAAAGCTAACTACCTATGAGAGTGCTAAGAGACTAGCCTTCATCCTAACAAATCAAGAAATACGTCGTGGTATAATTGTCACACCCTGCTAAAGCGGAAACAAGGGACGCGACAGTACAAAGGTCTCATAGAAAAAGTTAACAGACAACACCAACCTTACTATTAAAAAGCGTTACAACTTACAATAACTTTTAAACAGTTTTTAAAAGAAATTTCAATGTATAAAAAAAACAACACACGTGAATGCTCCTACAAGTGATGTGTCCCTACATGCCACTTACTCGATAATTCTCTAAAAAAGCATGTAATATGAGAGTCAACTATAGAAATAGTTGGTGAGTTCACAAGTTTACAAAAATGTGGTTTCATGTATCGTAAGTGCATTGCTAACATGAGAAATAAAGTTCATTGCTAAACAAGATACAAAATTCATATGTGCATAATGATTATACCATGAGTTCATAACCGAAGCCTAATGACCGAGGGGTGCCCTATTGAAATCTACGTGTATCGCTCACATAGATAGAGATGGTAATAGTGCTATCCATAATGACCATCGACTCAAAGGAGTTAATGAGTTGTGTGAAATGGTTATAGGGACTTTGCCGTGATACATACCTCATGAATCAACAATTGCAACACATACATTGAAATTCACATTTGATATAACTTAAAATAAACACAACGAGCATAATTGAATAATCAACATGCTTTTCCAACCCAAAAAATTGAAAAACCAAAAATAGGGGGAGGCGTGAAAAGTAATAACTTATTTCGTGATGATGCTAGCGATGCCTTGAACTAAATGCCATTCGTAACACTATCGATGTCCTATAATAATGGAATAGAGTAGTGAGTCTTGAATAGAAATCAAACATTAGTATACTTACTTTTTACAATAGATTGTGCCAATAATGTGTCACATTTAGTTGGAAACATTTTTCCTGTAAAATTCAGATTTTAAGAGTAAATTTATCTAACAAAAAATTCAAATGGAAAACGCCATTTTCACAATGTTAAATGTAATGTAATTATAACATTTTAGAAGGTGTCTTAAAAGTTAAATATTCAAAAATCCAACCAAAACAAGTAAATAATTTCCCAAACTTTATATTTCAGTTTAACTGGAGTCAAAGACCTTAAGATAAATTTTCTTGAATTTTTTATCTGTCTAACTATTTCTCACCATTTTAATTCCTTGAAGAATCATAAATTCATGGAAAAATAGTAAATTATCATGAAAAAATCTAATATTTTTTTGTAACTGTTTCACAGTGTCCCTAAATTGGGAAAAATATTAAATACCACCTTTGATTAATCAGACCTGGTTTTTGTAATTTAATCATGTTTTACATCAAGAAATTCTAATTACATAGAAAACTGTAATTAAAAATGATCAATATTTTTATACAAATGTTATACGACTAGTTTATAACCCGTGAGAACCACGGTTACAGAATTAATTAAAGTTTTATAGTAAAAATTCAAAATTATTAATCAATTCTTTTAAATAAATTATTAATTAAGAGTTTTTTTAGTTATATAAATTTTAATCATTTATTTAAATAAATATGTGAAATTATATCACTTTATAATTTGTATTAATTTTATTTTAATTTTTATTGTAATGTTATTAATTTAATGTAATTAGAGTGGAAAATTTAAAATCTGAAATGGAGAATCTATAGGTTGACAAGTGGCATGTACTAATTAGGAAACATAATTGGGTGATACATGGCAAAAGGAGAAATATACATTAATTAGGAGACCTAATAGGGTGATACATGTCAAAAGAAGAATAAAACTATTATTTTATTAGAATAAGAAGATGTATATAAGTTTTAAGAAATATCAAAAGTGATTTTCAAATAGCGGATTTCGATTTTTGGATTTATGGATGTTTAATCTTAGGAAATTGGAAATAAATAGCAAAAAGTTAAAACAAATTCTAAAACATTTTGGGAAATTTATTTAAAATATTTTAAAGCTACGAACAATGATCAATGAACTTTTTAAGCTTTGAAGCCCATATTTAAGATTTTTGTTGTGTTTAATGCCAATAAATTTGAAATAAATAGCAAACAGTAAAGAAAAATTGCTAAATTATTTATTTGAGATCCTAGTATAATAAAAGAGGCTTGGTTAATTTTTTATTAGTTATGGATAAGTGAAACTAGAAATAAGTTATGAAAAATTCTGAAAACATTTATCTGAGTTTTATACATAGGGGTGGGCATTTGGACCGGTAGATCGGACCGGACCAATGAACCGGACCGGATCGAACCGTTTTTTTGGACCCCCAGGCCGGTTCTCAATTCTAGGTATCCATCAAAACCGGTCTGGTTTTTTTCCCGATCCGATTTGGTTTTTACCGGGTTTAGAACCGGTTGGACCCGATTTAAAAAAAAAAAGATTGTAATTTGTGAAAATTTTTAAACAACCATAAATCATTTGTTTTAAGTCGGATTGACACATGATATTTTCCAACGTTTAATTTACTGTTTGTAGATAAACTTAGACTATAATTTTGTTGATACTGGTATTATATTCAATGTGTTACATTCTTTCAAAATTGAGTTATAAAAGCTGAAAAATTTTAGCTTTTCAGCAACATTTTTAAAATTTCGTAATCTGTGAAAAATTTTAAACAACCATAACTCATTCGTTTTAAGTCGGAATGAGACACGTTTTTTTTCCAACGTTTAATTTAAGGTTTTTACATGAATTTAGACTATAATTTTGTTGATTTTGGTATTACATTCAATGAGTTACAGTCTTTCAAAGTTGAGCTATTAAAACTGAAAAATTTCAGCTTTTTAGCAAGATTTTTAAAATTTTGTAATCTGTGAAATTTTTTAAACAACCATCAATCTTTTATTTTATGTTGGATTGACTGTGGTTTTTTCCAACATTTAGTTTACAATTTGTAGATGAATTTAGGCTATAACTTTGTTGATTTTGGTGTTATATCCGGTGAGTTACAATGCTTTAAATTTGAGCTATCAAAGCTGAAATATTTTAGCTTTTTAACTATTATTTTAGACTATAATTTTGAATTTTATGTGTCTTTGACAGATAGATCATATGAAAGGGATCTTGGTGAACTTGATTTATATGTTAGTTGCTTTTATTTGGAAAATTAATTTTGCAAGTTATAATATTATACATCAAGGTACATTTGTTATACATGAAACAGAAATGTCAGCATTTTTACAAGTTTTATCGTATCAAACCCAACAACATAATCTTTTTTAATGAGTTCTATCAAAACCAAAAACTTATTTTAATGACTTGTACTCTATTCAATTTTAGTTGTACTGGTCCAAACGGGTCCAAGAACCAGAAAACCCGGACCTGGACCTGGACACAGACACAGACACAGACATGGACATGGGCACGGACACAACTCATCTGGTCGGATCCACGATCCACAATATTCTCCATAACCGGTCCGATCCAAATACTCACCCTTAGTTATACAAGATATAGAAGTTGCGAAAATTCTTATGTGTTCACTTAATATCTCATACTTTGGTTTTATGATTTATTTGACTTAAACACTA